ATTTGGGGTGTACAATATAGTGATTCAGCAATTCTATACATTACTCAGTGCTCATCGTGTTAAGTGTACTCCTTTATCCCCATTCCCTATTATTTCACTCATCTCCCCTCCCGACCTCCCTTGTGGTAACTATCAGTTTGTTTTCCATAGTTAAGATCTACTTATTTATTTGTCTCTTTCTCTCTTTTGTTTTCCTTTGCTTGTTTGTTTTCTTTCTTAAATTCCACATGAACGAAATCACATTGTATTTGTCCGCTTCTGACTGACTTTTTCACTTAACATTATACTCTCTAGCTCCATCCATGTCAATGCAAATGGCAAGATTTCATTCTTTTTATGGCTGAATAATATTCCACTGTGTGTGTGTGTGTGTGTGTGTGTGTGTGTGTGTATACATCACATCTTCTTTATCCAGTTATCTATCGATGGACACAGGCTGCTTCCATAATTTGGCTATTATAAATAATGCTGCAATAAACATAGGAAAGTGTGTATAACTTGAAATTAGTGTTTTTGTATTTTTTGGGTAAGTTCCCAGGAGTATAATTACTGGATCATAGGGTAACTCTATTTTTAACTTTTTGAGGAAACTCTACACTCTTTTCCACAGTGGCTGTACCAGTTAGCATTCCCACCAATAGTGCACAGGGAAACAAAAGTTAACATTATCAGGAAACCCAGGATGATAATTTGTGTGGCTCTGTCCTGCTGTCTCCCTGAAAAATTTAATTATTGATAAATTATCATTATTTCTAACTGCAAGACATTTTTATAACAACATACATGGTATTTTCTTCTAATTGAGAAGATTCTGTTTGTTCAAATTTAACTACTAGAAATGCATTTGAACATTTTTTTATTGAGGTACAGCAGAGCTAAGGAAAAATACGTATCTGCACTAAAATTAACTACTTCCAAAAAATAAGCAAGCACAGAAAATAAATATAAAATTATGCTCTTTGAAATTTGCATTTTGCATATTAAAACATCCAGAGGTCACAGTCCTCATTGAAGATGGCATATTACTTAGCTTGCTATCAAATGGATTAAAATGTAAATCTGAGTTTAAAGTCTAAGAATGGTGTTGCAATAAACATAGCTAATGATGAGCTGTTTTTTGTTTTGTTTTGTTTTGTTTTCAGTTTAGAACTGAAAGCATTAGAAGTACACTGTAAGGTCTTAAATTCAGAATCTCCAATATGAAGTTTGATTCTTTTTTTCATTACTTGAGAGAGAAAGAGGGAGAGCATGCATGCATGGGTGCAAGCAGAGGAGGGACAAAGAGGGACAGAGAGAGAGAGAATCTTAAGCAGGCTCCACACTCATTATGGAGCCCGAAGCAGGGCTCAATCCCCCAACCCTGGGATGATGACCTGAGCCAAAATCAAAGATCGGATGCTCAAATGACTGAGCCACCCAGGCGCCCCTGACATATAATTCTTAATATATAATCACAAGTGTGAATTAAAGCTTAAAAATAAATGAATGAATAATAAGTGCTTCTGGAGTCGCTTTTATAACACCTTGGATGTAGAGGCTTCAAAAAGGATCAATATGACAGTGATAAATTCTAGGTAACATGGCAGAGATGAGCGGACAATAATAACTGCTGGTGTGTTTTTGCACAGAAATATGTATAATTTTTAATCAACTTTTTCACCCAGAAAACACATTTGATTACTTACTTTAGTTTCCTTAAGATTTATTTTTCTATTGCTTTAAAAACAAAAATTCTTCAAAATAATTAACATTTCTAGAATCTGACATAAGTTAAATTGCTTTTAAATTTAAAGGTACCAAAGGAGAGAAAAATAAAAATTCATTTAATGCACAAATGTAAGGTTTGTAGGTGTTGTCTGTACCTGGCACAATAAATATATCCCCCAGAGCCCGACAACAGAATCATTAATTCAACAAATATTTGTTTTGTAAGTGCAGAGAACATAAAGATGAATGACATGGTCTCAAGCCTTCTAAAAGTTCATGTTGTAGTTGGGAAATTAAACTTGAAAATTATAATAAGAAGTGATCAATATTATAATAGAGGCAATCACAGTACATAAATGGAACATAAGAGGAAAGAGCATCTGAGCACATTAGAATCATCTGGGGAGTTTGGAACAAATGCCAAGATCAGACCCACCCTAGACAATTAAATCACATTGTTTTTTGGAATAGGCAATTTTAAAATACCTTAAAAAGGATATTTGATGATCCGTACATACAGCCAGAGCTGAGAACCTCTTAAAGAGATCACCTGATATTGAGCAGAGCAGGAGCAACATTAGACATTTCGGTAAGTGGTAACAGCACATGCAAAACTCTAGAAGCCTAAAAGCAAAAAAAAAAAAAGAAGGGGGGGGGTAGGAGGGTGGATATTTAGGAACCCTAAGCAGTTAAGGTCTACTACAGAGTAGACTTTGGAAAGTGACAAGAAATAAAGTGCACATCTGAATAACTGTTTTGTGGAGCATGGACTGGAGGAAGGCAAAATTGCAGGACACCCATCAAGAGTCTATGGTAGAAGGCCACATGGGAAAAGAAAAGTTCGGAAATAGGCCAATGGAAATAAAAACGGACATCAAAGGAGAACAGCAGGAGATAGCAAGAGATTTTTACAAGGGGCAGTGTGGCTTTGTGGAATGAGCAGTCTTTGGAGGCTTTGTGAACTACTTCTCCACTTGTAAACCGAAGAGCTATTGAAAAGATTAAGTGTGATACGGAGCTAACATAACTATTATAGTGCCCACTAAGGAAAAAGAATCCAGGAAGTAGTCACTCTTCTCACGTGCAGGTAGATTAGGCAGATCTTATATGGGAGGGGTGGGTAATGGGAGGAAACGCCATGGGAAACCTAGGAGGACACCATGATTCTGAGTGAAGGGGCAGATTCATGGCATTGTGGGGATGTCAAGCACCAAGATAAGAATGCAATCAGGTGCACAGGTTTGGGAAGGGGGAGATGATGGGTGAGTATCATCTGGTGAAAAGTTCTGGAAGGAGGGATAGAAGTTTACAAGTTGTTTGAAATAAACTTGAATCTTTGATACCAATGGAGCATCCACAATGAGATATCTGGGAAGCTGAATATCTGAAACTAAGAGCATGGAATGTTTATTATATGAAGACCTAACATGGGTACCAGAGCTTTGAATTTGTTTTTATCATCATCATTATCAGTACTGGTGATATTTACTGATAAGTTGGGAACTAATTGAGCCATCCACATACATTATCTAGTCATCCAACAACCCCATAGTGTCGAATTTTGGAGATGAAGCAATAAAGCTTGGGGATGTTAGGAAATTTCTCAAGTACTCATATTATTTACAATAATAATTCCATAGGGGCGCCTGGGTGGCGCAGTCGGTTAAGCGTCCGACTTCATCCAGGTCACGATCTCGCGGTCCATGGGTTCGAGCCCCGCGTCAGGCTCTGGGCTGATGGCTCAGAGCCTGGAGCCTGTTTCCGATTCTGTGTCTCCCTCTCTCTCTGCCCCTCCCCCGTTCATGCTCTGTCTCTCTCTGTCCCACAAATAAATAAAAACGTTGAAAAAAAATTTAAAAAATAAAAATAAAAAAATAATTCCATATATCAGCATCTCATATAAGAGTTAAATTAAGAATAAAATGCATATTGCCCTTTAATTAAAGTCAATATATGGAGAATTTAGATCTCACCCACTGACCCTGGACAGTCCAGGAGGTCTGGCATCTGATTATCTTTGTTCTAGAAGGATTTCTAAGGTTAGACTCTGAATGCGTGAACCAATTTGTAAACCCAGCAGGTCTCAGACATAAGCTGTATAAAACCATTTAAGAATTAGACGGTTCTTTCCAAATTGCCTATCTCTCCTGCTGCTTACCAAATTATGTAATTCCTTATCCTTTGTGAAAATGTTTTATGTTGAGGGGAGTTTCTTATCTTTGGAAATTTTGATATAAGAATTATATTTCTTTACTAAAAATGCCAAAAAGTTTTTATGGAACAAAAAGCTATAAAAGGATCTAGTTAACTCACGTTAGGTAATATTTGCATTGTTACCTCATAGTATTATAAATAAGAGCAGAAGACTCTCAAGTAAATCTGTATCAAGGAGGGAGAAGGATCAATAAAAAACAAACAAAAATAAAAATAAGAAAGGAAAAATAAAGAAGAGAGTTGAAGCCATGGAGGAAACCCAAAGGAAAATGGGAGGAAGAGGGACATTTGTGAGGATGTTAAAGAGTAGGAAAACAGGGGTGGTAGGGAGAAGTGGGAAAGGAAAGGAGACAGGATAGATGATGATAAATAGAAAGATAGATAGATGATGGATGGATGGATGGATGGATACATACATACATACATACATATATACATATATACATACATATATAGATGGATGATAGTTTTATTTATACACACATATAGTATATGTTATAAGCCTGTTTTTAAAGCCCAAACATGTTTCATTCATTCATGATCAAAATTCCATGTGAACCAAAGGTCATAAGTTTCAGTTAACAGTCAATGAGAAAAATTTACTGAGATATTATGATAATAATGTTATTTGTACTAGTGCTTAGAGAAGATAAAGTGTTAGATTAAACATTATACTTATGTAGAGAGTCAAGAAATTAACATTGGAGAGTGTTTACATACCAATTACCATGGCACTTAAATTAAAGCTATACTTATTTGTATACTTATTTGCTATTTTTTCACAAAGCTGAGTTTCTAAGTCTGTTTACTGGAAAAATACAAAGAATTTCCCATAAAATTGAATACTATGATCAAAAGGTTTCCATAAAATGATGACTTGTGGTGCCGAAATTTATAAATTTTGTTTAGAAAGCATATGTGTTAGCATTTCTTTTTTGTAGAAAACTGTTTTAGTTCCATTTTTTTAAACCGTGTTTATCATAGGAAATTTATTTTTCTCACCAATCTTGTGCCACTGATTCTCACCCTTCAGATCTAGCTCTAATATATCCAATAAGTAAAAACATAAAGAGACCTCCTTATCACTGGAAGATCGAAGGATTTACTAAGGAGAGGAAAATTTTCTTTATGGCACTGGTCTATCACTTTTTTTCTTTTCAAAGAGCTCACATGTTACGAACCAGAGCTTGGTTTATGGTCAAACAGCTGGGTTTCGATTCCAGATCTGCCACATAGTGTGAAACTTTGACCAAGTTAATTATTTCTCAGAGTTTCAATTTCTGAAAGAAAGACAAAACAAGCCATATTCGAGCAGTGACTGGGCACATGAGATAAACCATGAATGAAATGACTGAGTGAAGGAACAGACCTACCGTTATGCTCTCAATTCAAAGGTGCTCAATAATGTTATTTATGTTCTTCTGTGACAAGTCCACGTTTATCACTTGTTTCAAATTCGACTCAAATGACCCTTTCCAGGAATCTCTTAGATTCGGAGCTTTGTTGTCTCCTTTTGATACTTACATTTCTCTTGTAACGTAGTGCTTTGCTGTTGTTAACTTTCCTCTTGTTTTCAAGCTATTTTAAGTGTCTCTGCTTTGCCTTTTAAGCCAGATTCCTTCTTTAAAGACAAATGTAAAGACTACCAAAATGCTGCCTGTCTGGACACACAGCAGGCAAGCAGAAACAAAACGTATGCTACCTAACCTTAGGGATCACACACAACTTTTCCATCATCTCCCGTCTTGCAGAGACCAGATGTGACATAACTGTCTTCACTGACACTGAATAAACAGTTCCGAATAATGATGCAAATGTTCCTCTGCTGTGATATAGACTAAGAGAAAACTTTAATGTTTATTTCACCCACAACATAAGGGCATTATAATTTGAGAAAATTTGAAAACATTGCTTGTATCAAATCAAAAAAAATAAGAGAAACCCCCCAAATCAGACCTGCTGGTACACTGAAATGGACCAAGCCAATAGTCCATGATAACAATTATCAATTATTTTATATTTAATATGTGCTCAACATGACACTGAGTGCTTTCAAACATTACATCACTGAATGTTCCTCATCACAACCCGAAGAACTGGATGACTATAATTCTCATTTTACAGATGAAGAAAATAAGATTAAGTACATTTTCAAATTCAACCCACAAGTGGCAAAGTTGGGAAACAGTGGTGTTTCTAACTCCAAACCTACTTTGTTTTTCCCATTTTTCTTTGCTTCCTTTCAAAGTTTACAAGAATTTATTTACTTAGAGGAAAATGGAATGTTTATAGGCCCCTGGCTACACAGAGAGTACCCTAAAATGAATAGGGGAGGGATAGCAAACTTTCAGATTCATCTCTAAAAACAAAGGCCTCCAAGTTAAAGCTAACAGAAGCTCGAGGTAAAAATTAAATCAATGTTTGCTACACCCTGAACATCTAATGGCTATGGCTGCTCTGTTTCTACTCAGTTGTCCTCAAATCTGGGAGAACTGGTGACTTTGACTTTCATGAGTTTGGTTTAATAACAGAATTGAAAAACATTCGCATATGCAAACACTGTCACCCTGATGCTCTAAATGGAGCTGCTGCCTACCAATTTGTTGGGTTCATCAAGGAGCCCTGTGTCAGGCTTTATAGTGTATGATGTATATAGTATCACATTGAGAAGAGTACGGCAGAACAGATTTGTCTGGTGTATCATAAATCTGTCGTCCCTAAACATTCCAATGGACACAGTATGCTTCACCCAAATTTCTTTCAGGTCAAACCAATTTCCATGTGGAGGCTATGCTTCCTACAATCATTCAGACCACAAACCTAGTTTACAACAATTGCATTTCAGTGTCATGGAGACACAGCTGGCTTAAGACCCAAGGATGGATATTTCATTGTTTGAGATTCATTCTGTTCATTCTTTACTGAAAGGGGAGTTGTGGGGAGCTGATTCTTCTTATGCCCCACCTTGTAATGTTGGGACAGCCAAGAGAATATTGTTTCAAGCCAATAACTAGATCAATAAAAATCTTATCCCTTACTTTCAAATATCAAGCCCAAAAGCCCTACTCCAGAATAAGGTCGAGAATATCAGGCCATGACAATTCAGCTTCCTTTGATGTCAAAGGTCCACTTCCTTGATCTGGCGGGTTAGGTGCCTGTCTCCTTCCTTCTCATTGCTCCACAAGTCATGCCTCAGTTCAGGACAATAACCTTTACCACAAGAACAAAATTCTTCAGGAAAGTCTGTATGTGTAGGATCCCAATTCCTTAAGAAGTTGTTCTTTAATGGAACATGAGTTAAACATAAATCTCAAGCTGTGACTTCACAAAGAGTTCGGAAGTTTCCCATTTTATTTTCTGATTGAAAAAATAGGGCCTCTGGATTTCTCCAAAGGTTGAAATGCCCACCTTGAGAATTGTCTGCAATTGTCTTGTCTCTGGGTAGCATTGCGTGTAACTTCATTTTTCATGGTGTTTTCATCTTCATTCCTCTGCTTCACTGGATCCAAACACTTCATGACTTTAGTCACTTTGCTAAAATTTGTAGAGTCAGGTTTCGGGTGACAGTTATGGAAAGAGGGACGATCAAAGAATATGTAACAATTTGCTACCGTAAATGACGCCTGTATCACTTCACTAGGTTTGCCACAATAAAGTAATGCAGACCAGTTGGCTTGAACAAGAGAAACTCATTACCTCACCATTTTGGAGACTAAACATCCAAGATCAGGGTGTTAGCAGGGCTAGTTTCTTTTGAAACTTCTCTCCATGGCTTGTAGACATGTGTCTTCTCCCTGTCTTCACCTGGTCATTCTTATGTGTCTGTCTGTGCCCTAATCTCCCCCTAAAAAGGACACCAGTCATTGAATTAAGTCACACCCCAGTGCCCTCATTTAACCTTACTTACCTCTTTAGAGACCCTGTCTGCAAAGACACTCACCATCTGAGGTAGTGAGAGTTAGGATTTTGACAGAGGAATTTGGGGGAAGGGAGTGGGGGGAGACAAAGTTCAGTCTATAACTGTCCTATTTCATTTTTTCTCTCCCCCATAGGTGCCTGGATTATACTCTTCTGCCTTCTGAAAACTTCACTTCTGACATAACTCCTCTCATCCATAGAAAACCCACTGGTGAGTATGATCCAGGTCCCAGTCCTCAGCCTCCTTCATTTACCATCTTTTCATACGTATCTTTACTGTTTTCAATGTCCCCTTACATTCAATTTGAGCCAGAAGTGCTAAAAAAAATATCACCATTTGAGTCTCTCTCCTTTCTCGCCTTCCAATATCATGAACAATGGAATGAAGAAGCAATAAGCAAGAAAGGCAAGAAAACAAGAGATCCATTTTTACCCTTGAACAACCTACAGTTAAGATTGGGATTGGAACCCAAATGCAACCTAAGTATCATGTTCATGTTCACTATGTAACGTTTTGTAGATGAAATAGAAATGAAATCGCAATGTTTTAAAAAATGAAATGAAAGGAGAACCTTTACTGTCAACTTTTTAAAACCACCATTCTATTTCCATGTAAAAATAAGGCTAAATCAAAATAAATTGCTAGCATTCATTTTCCCCAATTAGTGACTTCATTTGTAAAGAAAACATTTTATTTCAGCAATTAGTAAAGTAAATGATTAGGATTTAATTGAATTTTGAGGCTGCTTCCAACTCCTAAAGTTTAGATCACTTAAATATCTATAATTTAGCATTTGGCATTTAAATAATCTGGGCAATATGAAAAGCACCCTTTATCAGCTGGTTTTTTTCAGGCAAGCAAAAGGTAGCCATGGGAACATACTGCATGTTGTAGTACAGAAAAAAATACTTATGGGTCTGTCATAGAAATATTAATATTGATAATTTTCCCCCTGGATAATCATTTTAATGATGATACACTTTATGATTGATATTGCTTCTTTCTTCCAAAGGACCTCAAGGGTTTTTCACAGTATCTCTATTCAGGTTCTTCAGTAGGTCTTTAAATGATTCATGTTTTTCCACTGATGGTTGCATCACCCCTGGGTAAATTATTTGGAGTGAAATTAAAGAAAGTTTAAGCTCTAGGTAAGTAATAAGGCGAGACAATTATAATGTTCATCTCATGCCTCATATGTTTGAGCCTTTGTCATGCTACGGTTGAGATGTTTTTAATATTTATATTAAAGTCAGTGTGTAGCAGGATGCAAGGGACATTAAATGGATCCTGCCTCTTATTTATCTAAAATGTCTCTGGGTTTTTTTGTAATTATGCTTCTGAATTATGTTACTCTGACAGTAAACATGCATTAGAGAAGACAAAAGAAATTTAATAGGTGAGGCTGAGAAGCATAAAGGAAAAGGATTTGCAAAATGAGAGAAGAAGTCTAATGAATTATGGTGGAAGAATTGGCCAATCTAGGAGTGTCTCTATTTCTGACCCTGTGCCCAGACAAAAATTCCATCCAATTTGTGATCGTTCCCATCTTTGAAGTTAAAATTAGGCAGGTGAAACTTGGAAGCACCTGTGTCAGAGGGTTGGGGTGTCTCCTGACCTTTCCATCATCACGGGGTAAGAACTGTTCCTGCTCCCCATGCCACCCCTTCTCTGAATACCTGAGCCAACACTCTTACCTTTAATTGCCTAAAACATAACAGACCTAAAGTCTGTGTGTTTATAAAAATGGCAGAGGGTTCTATAGACTGGATGTTTGTATGCCCCCCAAATTCATATGTTAAATCCTAACACAATCTGATGGTATCTGTTGGGGCCTATGGGAAGTGATTAGGTCATGAGGGTAAAGCCCTCATAAATGGAATTAGCACCTTTATAAAAGGAACTCCATAGTCTCCCTCATCCCTTCTGCTGTGTGAGGACTCACCGAGAAGATAGCTGTCTATGAAGCAGGAAGCAGATTGTTACTAGACACCCAGACACCCAATCTGCCAGCACCTTGATCTTAAACGTCCCAGTCTCTAGAACTGTAAGAAATACATTTTTGTTTTTCATAAGCCATTCAGTCTATTGGATTTTTGTTGTAGCAGCCCAAACAGACTAAGACAGGGTGAGAGAAAGGACTGAATGCTTTCTGCGTACTCACTAAGTCCTTCATAAGAATTGTCTCAGAATTCTAGGAGATAATCATTTTTGCTGTTCTCATTTTAAGGATAAAGAAATGGAGCCTCAAGCACCATAAATAACTTTCCCAGGGCTGTTTAATCAATAAGTTATGAAAAAATAGTTTTAACCCCATCTGTAGGACTCCAAAGCACGTGTTCACCCCATTCACACTTTTCCTCTAGCTCAAGAGAGTAATGTATACACCAAGAAGTACGTAGGGTCATGAAAAAGCTAGAATTGGGGGAACAAGAAAACAAATGCATTAAGGACATAGACTATAATTTCAAGGTAGTAGCCCTCACAAAGAAAGTTTCAGAACCCAGAAACTGAGACCAAAAGAAGTGACTAGCCACAAAGTCCCTGTGACAGTGCTGGTAGCCTTTATTCACAGTGTCTTACTATATGTGTGTGTGTGTGTGTGTGTGTGTGTGTGTGTGTCCATGTTATGCACATATATCCTACACTGTTATTTACTTTCATGAAAAATCAGAAATTTAACCACATTAATTTAAGATCAGGACACCAAATAGGCATTTTGACTTATTTCAGAGAACTCGATCTTCAAAGAACCTGATTTATATTCTGTTTCAGTAAACAAAATCCAATATATCTTTAGAGGGCCATGCGGAGACTAAGTCACTTCCAAGGAAAACAACCTTATCTTCATGACCTCCAGGTTCCAAGTGTGGGTCTCCATAGAGATAATGCCCTCATGAGCAGCAAGCAGAGAAAACTCATCCTTTGAAGAAACAACCTTTTGGAATTAGATGAAAGGAAAATAATTTCATTGATAGAAAAACATGGAGATAAAAAAAGGTAGAAATTTTCTTTTGAAATAATCACAGTGAATAGTAACAACTTGATAAATATAAGGACTCATATTTCACAAGTGGTACCTATTATATTTTTTCTTATGTGAGTATTTAATCCTTAATTAGTAAATCAAGTTATGATCCCAAAGAAACCCAAAGAAAATATCTAAAAATTCTTAATGTTATTAATTTTATATGCTTGCTTAATGTAGGATCATATGGTATGAGACACAAAGCAAGACAAGCAGCAGTTTTGATAATGTGATTTTCTATTTGTGACTGGGCTTTTGGGGTGGAACTAAATGCAGGAAATGTATTTTTAAAGGAACACTCATAATTTGGAGTATATTCTTTTTATTTTTTGGCTAGGAAAAAAATCATGTTTATTACAAAAAATAGGAAAGTATTAAGAAACAGAAAAAAAATTATCTGCAATCCCAAGAGGTAATTTTATCACTGTGAAGATTTCAGTATATTTCCTTTCAATACTTGCATTTCCAAAAACACACATTTAGCTAGTCAAAATTTTATCATCTAACCATTTTAGCTTACTTTTCGATTAATAGTATTTCCTGAATTTCTTGGACAGCAGGCAGCAATATACGTCTGCACCAGCCAGGCAGAGGCTTTAGTGGCTGATGGAGAATGATCTTGGTTTTGTTTTTTAATTTCTTTTTAATGTTGATTTATTTTTGAGAAAAATGGAGTGCAAGCGGGGTGAGGGGCAGAAAGAGAGGGAGACACAGAATCCAAAGCAGTCTCCAGGCTCTAAGCTGTCAGCACAGAGCCCGATGTGGGGCTCCAACTGACGAATTCATGACCCGAGCTGAAAACGGACACTTAACCTACAGAGAGCTATGCAGGTGCCCCAGGAGAATGATCTTAACTGCAGTCTGCAGTAGTGATATCAGCAGCACTAGGGCTGCTTCTAGATCCTTCGTTCAGATCCAGGGCTTCGGGCCCTACCCTGAAGCTATTAATGCATCCAGTCATCGGTGTTTCATAAATGTCCTCCCCACCCCCTGAATGATTCTAGTGCATAGCCAGCATTGAGAATCAGTGCTCTAGATTTTGAAGCCTCCAAAGTTTTTTTGTTTTAAACACTCTAGAAGAATTTTGCAACTGTTGCCTGACCCGTTTGAAAGTTGACCTACAAATTTTTATTGGAAATGTAAATATTTATAAAAGATGTAATCTCTGGTACCCTGTAAATATTGATATTTTAAAACATTTTTATTGTATTATTCTAAATGTATCTGGAGGAATCTAAAGAACACAGCAGTGTGATATTTACACTTTTAAATAATCCATTAACGTTGTTTTAACAGTCAGAAATTTCATATCATTCCTTTTAATCCTTGACCTTGTGTTTCCATTCCTTTAACTCCAGACAGTTTTATCTCAAGATAACACATTATTATGATTCTAAGTGTTTTGTTGACCACCATAACAACAAAATGTGTATGTGAGTTGAAATTTAATTTTTCTCCCTGATGTGTGACCTAAGGGCTAATAGATTTCTTGTGAATTGAGAAATCCCAAACGGAGCAGGTGCTCAGCTTGAAGGAGGCAGAGCTTCAAATTCAGCAGCTGACATGAAAATTTCAGCGGTGCTTGTACAACCTCATGTCTCTGCAGGTTGGCCAAAATCCAGTTGTCATCTATTGGGAACCTTCTGACTGGACAAATACAACTAAACACTGCAGCTGACCACCGTGATTCACAAGCACCATTTATCTGACTAATTACGCCTATTAACACTTAAGGAAGACACACACGAAAGGGACTCAGAGAGGTTATTTTTGACTGTCAGAGACAAACCCATGATACGGAGAAAAAACGCTCGAAGGTTAAGATGCATAGTACCTGGAGATAACTTCAGCACTCAAAATATGGCTACCTCTTGAACCAAAGGATTTCAAGTTGAGTTAAGCAAAAATGCCCCACAGTGGCAGAGACAAATAGTAAACCATTCAAAAATAACATTGGTGCCTGATGTTAAGGGTACTGCTGAGAATACCTTTAATAGATGCCCTACCTGGTAATGACCTGATCCTTGAAAAACTAGTAAAGTGGGAACCAAAAATGAAGTAAAGCCTTGAAGCCCCTATAAACACCCCCAAATGGATTTTATACAAATAGCAGGAGCAATGAACTATGACTATGTCCCAGTTATTGTTTCCTTACTCTGAGCGAATTGAGGGCTTTCCTTGCCAGAAAGCTATGATCCTAATGGTAATAATAATAATAATAATAATAATTGCTGGTTGATTTTATTTTCCTGATCTGGGGTGTGGTGGAGTCAAGGGATTCATTTAGCTCTCCAGGGACAGGGACACACATTTCACTGGTATTGCCATTACATAACTGTAAATTTTTGCCTTTTATTCTGAAACTCCACTGTCCCTTTCTTCTAAAACCAACAACTAGAACCAATGAAACTCTAAAACTCTTAAGAAAAAAAAAAAACTCTCAGAAATCCTTAAAATTTAGTCCATTTAGATTTGACAGCCCCAAAGCCAACTCCCTCTAGGGACCTAAAATATTTCTAAGGGTCAGTCAGAAGCCATCCCATGTGTGGGGAAATTTCACTTCCAGCCTCCCATTCTGCCAGTTGCAAACCAATACGACTAAATACTGCAAAGGACTCATACAGTACCTCCAGCTTTATCACCAACAGGTTCAAGCTCCATTATCAGAAGAGCAGCTTCAGCAGCCCCTGCATGATCTGAATCCTGAAAAGTTGGTCTCCAGGGACAGACATCAGAGAACTCTGCCCTTAACCATGATGGAAAGAACATTATCATACACTGTTAACAATTCACATGGCAGCAGAACTCTAAGATGATCCTTAGATGCAGGCTTCTTTTTTTTAAATTTAATTTTTTAACGTATGTTTATCTTAGAGAGAGGGAGAGTGAGAAAAGGTGGGGGAGGGGCAGAGAGAGAGAGAGAGAGAGAGAGACAGAGAGAGAGAATCCGAAGCAGGCTCCAAGCTCAGCTGTCAGCACAGAGCCCAACTGGGGGCTCAAACTCACAAACTGGGAGATCATGACTGGAGCCAAAGTCAGACAGTTAATGGCTGAGCCACCCAGGTGCCCTGATTCATGTTTCTTAATTAAGAATATGGTACAGCAGGGGCGCCCGGGTGGCTTAGTCAGTTAAGTGTCTGACTCTGGCTCAGGTGATGATATCCCAGTTCATGAGTTGGAGCCCTGCATTGGGTTCTGTGCAGACAGATCAGAGCCTGGAGCCTGCTTCAAATTCTGTGTCTCCTTCTCTCTCTGCCCCTCCCCTCCTCGCACTGTCTCTCCCTCTCAAAATAAATAAACATTCTTTTTAATTAAAAAAAAAATACATACACCATTATCTCTAGATCACTGGATGCCCATGCCATCAGTAGGCCTTAAACTGAGGATTCTTAAAAATTGCCCTGATACCATATGTTTTCACTCATATGTGGATCCTGAGAAACTTAAAAGAAGACCAGGGGGGAGGGGAGGGGGGAAAAAGTTACACAGAGAGAGGGAGGCAAACCCTAAGAGACTCTTAAATACTGAGAACAAACTGAGGGTTGATGGGGGGTGGGGGAGAGGGAAAAGTGGGTGATGGGCATTGAGGAGGGCATCTGTTGGGATGAGCACTGGGTATGGAAACCAATTTGACAATAAATTATATTTGATATAAAAAAATGCCCAGGGGCACCTGGGTGGCGCAGTTGGTTAAGCGTCCGACTTCAGCCAGGTCACGATCTCGCGGTCCGTGAGTTCGAGCCCCGCGTCAGGCTCTGGGCTGATGGCTCAGAGCCTGGAGCCTGTTTCCGATTCTGTGTCTCCCTCTCTCTCTGCCCCTCGCCCGTTCATGCTCTGTCTCTCTCTGTCCCAAAAATAAATAAACGTTGAAAGAAAAAAATTAAAAAAATAAAAAATAAAAAAATGCCCAGAAACAGACAGCTACAGAGGGTAAACAGTATCTTCCCAAACTCTCTGATTACTGCAGAGATAGACTACTTCTGTCCAAGGCAACAGTGTAAGATTTTCTGAGTCCTTGGCATAACTTTTCTTTGCTCACTTCTAATATTGCTTATTATTATACTTTGACACTTTCTATTAGCTGAATGTTTTTCAAGATACTCTCCATTATTTTCATTCTGTTGTTTTTTTTTCCCCGTAAGATCTTCTGTCTTCTGCCACTTAAGGAAAAACAAACTCTTGCTTATTTTTCTCTTAGCTACTGTGATAGGTATTTTTCTGTGTCAACTTGATTGGATCAGGGGATGCCCAGGTTTCTGGTAAAACATTATTTCTGAGTATCTATGATGGTGTTTCTGGATGAGACTAGCATTTCAATTGGTGGGCTCACTAAAGGAGATTGCCCTGCGTAATGTGGGTCGGCATTATCCAATCTGTTAAGGGCCCGAATAGAACAAAAAGGTGGAGGAAGGAGGCATTTGTGCCTCTTTTCTGTCTCATTGTTTGAATTGGGACATCTCATCTTTTCTTGCCCTCAGACTGGGAAGTACATCATTGACTCCCCTGGTTCTCAGACCTTCAGACTTAGATTGAATTACACCACTGGTTTCCCTAGGTCTCTAGTTTGCAAATCATGGGACTTGTCAGCCCCCAGAACTGCATGCTGAATTTCTCATAATAAATCCACTTTTGGGGCGCCTGGTGGCGCAGTGGGTTAAGCGTCCGACTTCAGCCAGGTCACGATCTCGCGGTCCGTTGAGTTCGAGCCCCGCGTCAGGCTCTGGGCTGATGGCTCAGAGCCTGGAGCCTGTTTCCGATTCTGTGTCTCCCTCTCTCTCTGCCCCTCCCCCGTTCATGCTCTGTCTCTCTCTGTCCCAAAAATAAATAAACATTGAAAAAAAAATTTTTTTTTAATAAATAAATAAATAAATAAATCCCCTTTTATATCCTATTGGTTCTATTTCTTTGGAGAAACATGACTAATACAACTACTCTCCTGAATTAAATTCATTGCTGGATCTGTACCTCCACCTGATCCTGTCTACAAAAAAATTAATAGTTTTTGCTTTCAACATTTCAGAAGGTAGATTTCATTTTACAGGCTTCTCTGGTCCTTAAATTTCTATCACATCATGCATGCCACACTTCAGCCTTATAAAACAGGAACCTTGACTCCACATCAACAAAATCAAGTACACCGGGTATGGGAACTAATGTTGGCACTATCATAGCTAAAATCTTCAGTATTCTTTTCAGGACCCTCCAGCCAAAGCAAACAAAAAAACAAACAAAATCTGCTCACATTAAAGGAACAATGATTGGCCCACTACTGTTGATATAAACACTATGTATATTCCTAATAGTATCTGTTTCTTTTTAGGGTACTTCTTATAGGATCTGATGCTCTGGAAGCCCTACAAACTAGGTTAAATTTATTACCCAGTGTGGTCACAAATGATCGCATAGCTGTTGAATTCCTCCTAGCTAGCCAAGGGAAAACTGATGCTCCAGCAAAGATTTCTAATCTGAAGATTACCCCCATGCAAATACTACCGGTAAGGGAACACTTATAGTTTGGGACCATTACTCACAGCCAAAATTCTAAAACAGGTCATGATAATTTAATAGGTCACTACCACCTTCCTCCTCACCCTCTTATTATTTGCCCGTAAAACAGCTTTCAATATTGGACTAAAAGGGGTGAGGCTGGGGATTTCAGCAGAGAAGTAAAGGAAGGCTAGGAAGCATCTGACTTAACCTAACACTCAGCTGTCTTCTGAACATGCAATTAATTTCCCTCAAAATTTGTTTGTTTGTTTGTTTTCCTAGGTTTTCAAAAATCTTTTCTCTGATTTCAAAGAATCCAAAGGAAATGGTTTTGAAAAGCCCTGATTTACTTGTAACCACTCCTTCACTGGCAGTGCAGTGTCTTACTTTAGGTCAGGCAGAGCGCTCAAATAAAATCCCAGGGGGTTGTATGGAAAGGGGGTAAATCAGCAATAGTCTTGTCTCTCAGCCACCTCTGATTTTGCTTTTCTCCACCTCCAGCCACACTTCAGTTTTCAGATCCAGGCTGCATGTGTGCAATGTTCTAATGGCCCCGAACAGCTGCAAGAACACCTCAGTAATTGATATTTCTTCCTGGAATTATCATAAGTTTTTATTTTTGTTTGAAAATTATTGGATTGCCCTCAACGTGTCCAAACATCCAAAGCTTTAAAAGCTCTCAATCTATTTTCTGATCCATAGAAAACCAGTTTTTATTTTTATTACCCTTAAATAGAGAATATCATATAAATCTACTTCATTTATAATATTTAATATTTGGGGGTGCTTTTTAGTAAACAGAAATAAACATTTTATTTATGTATTTATAAATCACTTTTTTGTTGTTGGTTCCTTAATGGTATTAGTTGTCCAAAAGGTGTTGATCTAATAATTCAACCTCTGATGAGAGAAAAAGCTAAATTAAAGGTATGAAACGTATTTGTTCATTTGTGTTTATACTCACAGAGAAGCTTTATAAGGCAATGAGAAGAGCTTGGACTCTAGATTCCAAATATGTGGTTTCAAATCCCAGGAAAGCCATTTGCTATGGCTTTGGGCCAGTTAATGAAATGCTCTCCTCCTTATTTAAAAAGAAAAATTGAATATGATCCAAAACAATTAAAGGTGAGGCATGTTTTTCTAATTGATAAAACTGATAAGAAGGCGTTGTAATCCAGAACACTTCACAGACAGATTCAGGCACAAAATATCCTTTCCAAGAGGGCGGTCTGCACGTGGTGAATTTGCAATGACTCCGGATGGTGAGAACTGGGGGTGACGACCTGGGAGAATAGGTTAAAATCAGAACTTCCCCCTCCCCACCCTACACCTCACCTAGAAATTCTAAGAGCAAGGAGAGGAGAAGATTTTAATTTGAAGACAGATTGAAACTTCAATATCCATCAGACTTGTAATAATGGAAAAGGAGATCTGAGCAACCCAAATCTCTGGTATTTATGCAAGATTAACTTTCAGAGATGAAAAAAACCAACAGAGCTAGTTTTCAGGACAGTGGTGAAAACGATACTAAAGCTTCTTCCTCATTGTCCAACACGGAGTCTAGCGAGCTGAGTAAATAGCCCTGTCTGTAAAGCACCTGGCACATGGCCTGAGTTCAAGGTAGGCTAGGTCCTTCCATGTCTGGTTTCCTCTGTCTAGTTCTGGGCCCTTCATTGAAAGGTTCTCATTTATAAAATGCAGGAAGGGGCGCCTGGGTGGCGCAGTCGGTTAAGTGTCCGACTTCAGCCAGGTCATGATCTCGCGGTCCGTGAGTTCGAGCCCCGCGTCAGGCTCTGGGCTGATGGCTCAGAGCCTGGAGCCTGTTTCTGATTCTGTGTCTCCCTCTCTCTGCCCCTCCCCCGTTCATGCTCTGTCTCTCTCTGTCCCAAAAATAGATAAACGTTGAAAAAAAAAATTAAAAAAAAAAAATAAAATGCAGGGCGTCCCTGGGAGAGCTCCATGAGACCAGGCATTCATGTGTTGCTTCATTCACACACATGCAGTTCCTTGGGCTCTTTACTTCCTTATGTCCCGTCTTAATGCACAGTTTCAAAAGCAAGGAAATAGAGCCCAGGAAGAATATGCAGAAAAGAGAGCTGAATTTTAAGCTGGCCACATTCTTTTTTTTTAATTAATTTATTTTTTTTGAGAGAGAGAGGGAGAGAGAGAAGAGGGGCAGATAAAGAGGGAGAGCAGGAATCCCAAGCAGGCTCTGCACTGTTAGTGCAGAGCCTGATGTGGGGCTCGAACTCATGAACCATGAGATCATGACCTGAACTGAAATCAAGAGTCAGATGTTTAACCAGCTGAGCCACCCAAGCACCCCTAAGTTGGCCATATTCTAACCCTCACACAGTTCGGTTACATATGTTTTTAACACTGCATAGATACTACAAGTTTTCAATGGACCTTGGAAAAATATTGTTTTGGCAGTTGCGTCATTTTTAGGCTTTAATTCCTCTGGATTTTCTATTACATGTGCTTCCATAAACTCACAAATGTATAAATGTTAGCATGATTAACATTTTTGAACTATTTCCACAAGTCTTGCTAATTTTATCTAAGTGAAGAGAAATAGGTTGTTTGAAAAGCAAATGTTGAAAAAAAATGTTATTTGCTCACAATTTTAAGTGACATACAATCTTATTAATCAATAAAGTAAGTGAAATTTATTTGCAAAGCCTTCATTAGGGGGAATGCCTTGTTGAATAGATGAGATTCCCAAATAATGTGTTAGTATTTTATATAAATAGGCGAAAAGAGTTTAAATGTGTTTGGAAAATTCATTCTCTCATGAAATTTAAGTATTCTACCTGATGCTTTAGTATTTTGTTTAGCAGGTTTTTGTCCTTAATTAACACAATATAAAAGTTTAGGCTCACCTCTCTTCCAATTATCCTGAATTCTAAATCTGTAGAATTGAATGGAAAGTCAGAAAATGAATACTGTTTTGGTTCAGTTATAATTTCCATCAACATCAGGAGATACTGGGTGAACTGAAAGGCCATGCAGGATGGGGAAGCACCCAGGAGAATGCAGAAACCCACAGCACAACTGAGTGGAAGTGTGGGCCTGGATAGTGCGGCCAAAGCTCTGAAACCACTGCTCTGGTGGACTAGGGTGATGGACAGAGGGCTTTGGATCACACAAGCAATCACTGGGGGCACATAGCATGCATGGACGCAGCAGCATGCCTCCCCCGGAGAGAGAAGAGCAAAACACAGGGGCTAACGTGGAGCCTGCTGGCTACAGGTCTGGCGGCAGGAAGCTGGGTACCCACACACAGAGCTGGGATTCAAGGCAAGACCACCACTCAGTCTTTGAGGGAAACAGAGAATGGCACAGCAGGGGTCTGAAGGTTCTGGGAAGTTCAGTTCGGAAATGTTATCAGAACTAGCACACAGAGTGAGCACCTGATTGGCTCCCAGTGTGTTTAGTGCCAGATCATAGCATTAAGTAAATCCTTCTGGCCTGAAATCAGAAATGATTCTAGCAGTTGGGGGTATGCTAAAACTGTAAATGGATTCAAAAAAGCAGGAACTTGGTGGAGATTTTTAGTGTGTACTTTCATATTTATATTAGGTCCTTGAAAAAAAAAAAAACTATTCATCACCTCTGACTTGATTTTTCCAGTTCAAGATGAGATTATTTTTGTGCACATTTCTTAGGGGGAATGTTACTGAACTTAAGAACCTATTCTTGTCTTCACCGGAGCCCCTCAGACCTTATCTTTATACACACACGAACACACAGAGACACGCTCTACGCAAGCGCACTCTCCTTTCTCTGTACAGAAAAATATATGTTTGTTTGAATTGAGTCTGTATGCGTACGTACATCGTGAAAGCCAACTCTCACGCAATATGGGCAAATGCAACAAGTTCCTAAAATTAAATAAACAGAAAGAGAAGCGTTTACTTCTGTCCAAAGCTCAAAGCAATCCCTTCTTAGCCTTTTACAGGAAAGAGGCCAGAATTCAACAGCAAGTCTTCTACACAGTTTATTAAAGTAGAAGATAAAACACTTCCTCCAATCAGGAAGAAAAATTGAGAGCGAAAAAATATAAACTCTCACAAGAGCTGCCTGGGATCCTTAATGGAGCGTAAGTGTTCCCAACATCTGGGGCAGAAATAAAAGTCATTTCTACAGCATGAAAAATGGAAACAGGCTCATTTCATTGAAATTCCCCTTCCTTTTCTACATGCCTTGTGGGAGACCCGAACATCCACTTTTGTTTCTCCCCTGGTTCATCTTTCCATTTCCATCATGCTTTACAAAAAGAACTATAGTTATTATAAATTTCTTATGTGCTCAATTACCCTTTGACTTCTCTTCCATTTATTCTTTTTTTAGTTGTATCCAGTCAGATCTGCCAGCTTTCTTTCCCTCATTTCTATTGCTTTTAACTTGTTGTTGTAAAGTAGAATACCACTCATTATTTTTTCCCCTCTATCTCCTCTCTCTCTCCCACTCGCCCTTTCCCTCTCCCCCCCCCCCCCCCCCTCTTTCACACCCTCTCTTTCCCACTCCTTGTCTCTCCTTCTCTACCCCTCTCTTTCTGTGTCTCCCTCTTCTCCTTTACTCTCTCTCTCTCTCTCTCTCTCTCTTTTGCTGTGTGTGTGTGTGTGTGTGTGTGTGTGTGCGTGTCTTTCTCCTTCCCTCTCATCAATTAGAAAAGATGTTATATTAGCTAGCCACACTGTTTTGGACCATGGTTTCTTCATAGAAGCAATGCAATGCATTTACTTTCCTTTGGGCAGGCCTCGACTTCTACCAGACATTTTAGATTTCTTCTTCACCAGCTCCTTATGGAATTTAATTTTTATTGTCTACATATATAGTTTTTAGAATCTTCACTTGAGATTGAGACTCTTTTGGTTGGTTTCTCAGAATAAGATCCAATAATCTAATATGCTTAAGAACCAGTACACCTCCAACCCCCTGATTTCCCTTCTTTTCTAGCCTTGGATACTGCTCCTTCTCACACTCCACGTCCCGGGAAACTCCTGAAAACACTCTTGGTACTGAGAGAATTCAATCACTCTCAGTTTGAACCATGTGAGTTATTTTCAGATCTGCCCACCAGACTCAAGGTTGTCAACAGAATTTTTTAGTTCCACGTTCCCGGTTTTCTAAACGTTATTTTCATCTGTGTTCCACTAAAATTTCAAACTTAATATGTTCTGAACCAGTAGCTTTCAAACTTTTTAAAAACAGACTCCTTTTTACAACATGTCTTAAATGGAAACCCAATATTTTATCACTTTAAAGCTAACAGAACAGCAAACACTTATCCTTACATGTGACAATTGGGTCATTTTGTTACATACATACATATATACATAAAAAGCTATGGGTAACAGTTGGGTTGCATTTCTGTTCCATGGTCTAAATTCAGAAAAAGACATTGAAAAGCAGCAAATTCTCAGCAATTCGTTTGTAAGAATTTTGAATTTGAGTACACAGACATACAAGTTCTGTACAATGAGTGAGTCAGCACAGAGGCTCCTATTTATGCCATCGGTGTCCACAAATGAGATAAAATTTATCTATTGCACATTTAAGTGAGTGTGTTGTTTTATATTAAAATGTGTCAATAGCTAATTTTTAAATTATGTTCTGTGGCTTTCAGGAATCCTGACATGCTTCTAAGGAACTATGATAATCCATATAGCACCGTTTAAAACTTGTTCTTCTATTTTATACCATGTTCACCATTTCTCATCAAGAACTGTTCTCTCATCCTAATATTTATATTATTTTGGTAAAATGATGACTGCTTCTTATTTTTTCTTCACATATAATCACAAATCATCCTAGTGCTAATGTCAGGGGTATTCGACTTTCATTTGGTTCTTTCTTTTCTACTGAATTGCTATTGCCCTTGTCTGCACCTGTATTAACTCACATCTGGATTGTCAAAATAGTCTCTTACATGGCCTTCCTATCCGCTATCATCTTTTTGTCCAATTTATCCGGCACTCTGACACCTGACGAAAATACTACAATTCTCACATCAGTCCCTTACTCAAAAAATATCAATAGCCCTCTGCTGTCCAGAAAATAAATGCCAAATACTTCTGCTCAGTTACTCATTATTCAGTTACTCATTATTTAAATCTTTTACTCTTCACAACCCCAACAGTAGACACACAAATAAACACACACATGCACACACACAAACCCTAACTGAAACATTTCTCCACCTCACTCCACATCTATCACACCCATATCAAAATCTATTCTGAGAACGTCGTTT